TGTTGTTATATCCCGGAAAGAATTTCAGAGCACAGCCCTCTCCATATTTTTCTGAGCGAACACGTGACGAATCCATTTTATTTCTTATAAAACCAAAATGTCAAACATTCTTACAGTCGTCCTGTTGGTAAGTGGTTAATGCAGCCCGTGGATATCTGCAACCACCTTCAAAGAAAGAAAGTAACAGACGCGTTGTCACCAGTGGGACTGTGTTGGAATGCCTCACATCGTGTAATTATTTTGGCAGTGCTATTTGTCGGCAAAAATCCATGTCATCCCTGGTAAAAACACGAACTAGTTGTAGACTAGTGATTTCAAATTTTGTATTAATAAATATTTGGGTTATTACAATAGTATTTTCTTATAAATATTTAATTAGATTAAATAAGTGCAATAAAATATATATACTCATAATAGTAATCATTAATTGATTACAATTTTGGTTGAGATAAATTACTATTAAATACAAAGGGCCATAAAAACGCCATAAACGCCTTAAAACGTATATCCAATCAAGCTTGACCAATATTTAAGAAATTCATAATAATTTAAACTAAATTACAAGATTTATATTAAATACAAAATATAATTAAACTGTATTGATCGATGAACTCGAACTAGCGTGGGATGGTCAATAGATTATTTTTTTCTAAATAGCATCAGTTACGCGGACGACACGGTACTGCTGAGCCCATCGATAAGGGCACTTAAGACATTAATAAAATATATATTAAAGATATGCAGAATACTATGGTCTCTGGTATAATTCCAAAAAAAGTGAACTAATTGTTTTAAGGAAGGAAACAAAGAACCCAAGGCGTACCTTTAAGTAGAGTTACCAAAATACCTGGAACACTAGGTCATTGAGGACCTCACTGATGACTTAAATATCAAACAAGAACGTAGAGCGTTGTCATTGAGGTGCAACATGCTGGCTTGCAGGTTTGCAAGGCGTACAAAAGCCGTTAAGATTTGAAGAAGCTTTTTACGTTTAACACCTGCAGCCTCTGGGTCAAGTGTACTCGCTAATCTGAAATTTCTCTACGTGTTCAGTATAAAAATGGCTTTTTATGGTGATTGGGCTGCCTCGCTATTGCAGCACATCAGGTATATTTGTAGAGGCTAGCACGGACAGCTTTGTTGCAATAGATGAGGATGCCTCTCTGACGCGTCGCGTGCGAGACAGTACCAACAGACTCTTATATACCGTATTAGGAAGGCTTGTTTTTCCGGTTATGTGGCACTGGAACATTGTGCATATGGCGTCCAGAGCTGTTATGTTTAATATAAAATGAGTTTTAATTTTTGTATCTGTGTATTTCCTTTATATTAAATTGTAATCTTTTTTTGTATCTTCATACGTATTAATAGTTTTCTTAAGTACGAATAGTTTGGATGTGAAATAACATTAGGTGCTTTTACTATATTATCACTAGCTGGCCAGGCAGACGTTGTTCTGCCCTCCTCGACGACCCTTTGTCATGTTCTATTAAAAATCATTAAATTCGCAAAATGAAAAATTGTGGGTCACTCGTGGGCAAAAAAAACATCCTATCTCTCAAGTTGGGCCAAACTGCACACGGTGTGCAAGATTAAAATCGGATAAGTAGTTTAGGAGTCCATCGTGGACAAACAACGTGACACGTAATTTATATAATAACAATAAATATATATATTTTTATATGTTTTGAAGTATCTTGTTTATAGTGTCCTATTTTGCCTATTGTATTTATTTATATACTTACAGAATATATTAATAAGAGACAACGTCATATATTGTTATTATTATCATGATTGTTAAAAAATAATATTCAATTTACACTATTTTCTTCATTTACTATGGAAATTTATTCTGTAGAAATAAATGCTTGACATACCACGTTCCTTACATAGCATCGCAACTGTTTGAGATAGTAGAAAATGTTTACTTGCAAGATTCCGTGAACGGGTGGGTACTGTAAATATTTACTCCCCTTTCATGCTATGTTGCTTTGAATACAGAACAGATGCTATTGATTCATGCGGACTGAGTGAGATTACAAGCGATTTGATTATTACTAATAACTAGTGATGCAACGAATACTACTTTTACGAATGCGAATACGAATATCAAACCTACTATTCGGCGAATACGAATACGAATATCTCGCCGTGGTAATGAAATACTAATTTATTTAATGATTTTCCACAACAACAGACAAATTTTTATTTTTTATTTCTTTTTTCAGCCTGGATGTTCCCAGCCGTTGAAAAAAGCCTTTCCGAGGCGACTGTACATGATTGCAATGAAAAATATTTTTGGGCGAGTTTTTTCAACCTTGGAAAATGAAAATCTTCTCGCCAAATAAAAGGCCAATGGATCAGAGGCAAGATTTAGAATAAGATCTTGAAACAAAACATTATTCGGTACGTTGTTAGCTTTTTGAGTGTGAAAATGAGTAATAACATTGTGTAGCCGTCGCTGCGGCTTAGGGCCTATTCACACGTCGTATCTTTTAAGAGCCGACGACGCGCGTTTTCAAAGTCTGTCAGTATTTAGTAAGTAGAGTTGCGTACAAAAATATTAGTTTTTAAATATTCGTGATTAGTATTCGCCGAATACGAATATTAGGTAAACGTCTACTATTCGGCGAATACGAATATTCGTATTCGTATTCGTAGCGTCACTAATAACCGACTTAGAATTTTTTCAAATATTCCGAAACATATTTTACAATTTATGTGTAATTGTATTTATTTCGGAGAGTATAAACTAACATGTTTTTAATAAAAGGTAGGTACCTAATTGTAAACAGCATGATTATACAAACTTCGAACATTCGTTAGACGCTGCTAGACGTTTTAGAGCCACACTCCAGCAAATTATCGTTGCAGCACGAATGAGTCGATTCAACGGTTCAACCAGAGAAGGAACACTTAGTGATTTATCTTTGGCTCCTACAGACATCGGTATGAAATAATAACTTAACGCCGCTGTGTTTTATACATATGGCAACACGAGCCACCGGCGGATCGGAGGAGAGTAGTCATGCGCAGGCGTACCGCTCCGGTCCTTTACATACAATAAAACAAGTATAAGCCGCACCGCTCACTAGACTAAGGCTACGGTCTCCTATTAAATGCTATATGCGACGTCCGACTTCAGCGTAAACGTTCCGATCGGTGTCTAACTAGAGAAGCAGCGCAAACAGGGTTGCAGTTCTACAAATTTTAAAGTCCCTAGACTAACAGAAAAAAGCCGCCAGAAACAGGATTTTTCTCTTTCTTAAAATCCGCTAGATATCCCTAGGTACATTTTCGTGCTAACTATAACCATTAGACTAACTGAAAAACCTTGCCAAATCGTATACAATGAATACTTAAGTGTCTATAAATTCAGAAAAACTTTAAAAAGAGCGGACTCTGTTTCATATAAGTCAGTTATTTATGGTTAATGTTATGACAACCAAAACAAAAATTTTTCATGTACAAAAAAAATATTGTTAAAAAAATAAAGCTTTAATATATAAACCACGTTTAAACATTAGTCAGCTCAGTACGTTCTTGTACCTAAATTTCAAAATCAATAGCGTAGTATGGATCTAGATCTTCAAAAAGAACTTCAGCGGAAGTTGAAGCTTCGCCAGTGTCTCCAGTTCCCATCTTTGATTTGCCTTTAGCAACTTGGTTGACAACATCTTCAGGAATATCATACGTTGCGCAATTCTTTTTTTTAATCCTTACCTGATTTCTGATCAGAAGAATGGAATTTAAAGTTTTTTCAGATAGTTTGTTTCGCAGTTTGCTTTTAACTACATTCATAGCACTAAATACGCGTTCAATTTCTGCATTTGAGTGCGGTAGTGATAATATTATTATTGCAAAATCACATAAATCTTCGAATATGTTGACTCCTGCTGCGTTTTTGTATGCAGTTACTTTTGCCCAAAAGCTAATTGGGTCCCCATTTAAAGGGTTCCAGTCAACAAAGTGAATGTTTTGCCACTGTTGCAAAATTTTGTCAATTTTTTCATCAGGTATGCCTAATTCCTAGGCAAGCTCTACCAATGAATTATTTTTAACTTGTTTTAATGTCTCGTCTTCGCTTAAAAGAGACATTTTTTCTAGCACTGCATAGATGGTTGGAAGTCGCTTTTGAATTTCTTCTCCTAATTTAACATTAAAAGCAATACATTTAGATCTTACTGCAGCAATATTGATATTATGGTTTGCTGGGAGCTTTTGTACTTGCGACTCAAAAAGATATCGAGAAACAGGATTGAGATGATCTTTAATATTTAAATTTATGTAGTCTTTGTCGGTTGTCGCTATAATATATATAATTTTTTGACAGATAGAACGTAGCAAAACCATCAAGGAACTTAAGAGTTTTAAAAAGTTTGCTTTCTCGCTTTCAAAGATTTGAATTGTCTGTTGCACTTCACCTAAAATACTTCTTAAATAGCACAGGTAGAGTCGATTTGTTTCGTCATAGTACATAGTATATAGTATTACAGTCGTGTAGCAACGATCTTTAGAAGTAAAAAAATGCAATTTTAATTCGTCCCATTGAGACAAAATTCTGACTATTGCCGGTTCAATTGAGAGCCAACGTGTGTCACACACCTTTAGGACTTTTAGAGGTGATTCACCACAGTTGATTAGTTCAAAAATTTTCTTATACTCCATTTGGCGCTGTGTTGAATGAGAAAACCAGTTGTAAGTTTCACGGACCAGAAATTCTATGTTTCTCGGTAAAGTGTTTTCTGAGGCATGAGTAACCGCTAATTGTAATGAATGGCAGACGCATATGAGATGTGGAAGATTGTATTGCGTTTTAAGAATCACACAAACGCTATGTCTGGATTCAGTCATGACAGCAGCGTTGTCAGTTCCAATGCCAACCAAATTTTGTAAGTCCAGGTCGTGATCTTTTAAACATTTTATCAGAGCAGTAACTATACCAACAGCATCGAAGCTCTATAGGGCTTGCAAAGCTAAAAAAGCAGATACTACTTTATTTAATTTTGAACTGTATATCTTACAACGATCCCAAGGTATTTTGTGACGCTTATATCCGTTGATTCGTCTAAAAGTAAACTATATTTTTGATCACTTATGTCACTTCGTAGTTCTTTCTTAAAATGCGGCGCCAATATATCATTTATGATTTGCGTACACTTAGTTCTATGCAATTTTATATCTATAGTCGATTTCGAATCCTTTAAGCATTGTTTACATACATCAGTCAAGTGGTCAATGTGGAAAATTGAACTATGTTCAGCAATGTACAAAACTAATGTGCATTCAGCTCTTGAACAACCTTTGCATATTTTCGTTGCGGTGGCAGAAAATGTCAGTTGTTTATTTTGGGAAAGCAATTGACAATGTTTTTTATGTTTCTTCGTTTCTAAATGCTTTTTAAGGTCGTTTAATTTCGCGTACATTTCAGAGCGACAATAATTACAAAATGCTTTACTTGAGTCACCTGGTACGGGTCTCAACCAATGTTTAAATTCTTCATTATTCTCCCACTCACTTCTGTAATGCTGGGTGTAGTGCTTCTTTTTCAGTGCAGCTTCCATACTGCCTAATACTGAAAAGTAATATTTTTTTCACGAGGAATATTCACACACAACAGTCACAAAATATAAACTCTAAAGAAATAAGTCTGCTTAGTCTGCTTAATGAAACATTGGTAACGTGAGCGGTATTTTAATCTCACTCGTTAGTGATATAAACAAAACAGATGATAAGTGAACGAACGCCATTGAGTTGTTTGTTTATGTTCGGGATTTCCTGTGAAATTATAATAAATATACAGTGTAACGAGCGGTAGATTAAAAATTGGACATACGATGAAGGTAAATAACTTATTTGAAATGAATTACTTTATTTAAAAAAAGTCGCCATATCAAAAGTCCATATGTCGCTAGAAGTCGCCAAATAATTATTTCTCGCTAAAACGATATTTTTTCCCGCTAAACATTGTTTAAATCCGCTAGATCTAGCGAGAAAGTCGCTAAAACGGCAACACTGAGCGCAAAGCGTCTAACGCCGCCTACGACGTCCATACGCCGACATCAGCTTGTGAAAGAGACCACAACAGTACATTTCTATAGTAAGCATCGTAACGCGGCGTACGGCGTGACGCTGTATGCGGCCGATGGCGTTTATAGGAGACCACCGCCTTATTTCGAAGCATTGCAGCGTAAAGGTCGTGTCTAGCGTCAGTACAAAATGACAAAATTTTATAAAGAAAAAAACGAGTTATTGATTTATTATTATGTTTAAATTGTTCTTGATTAATAAGAAAATATTCAGTAAATTTAGAATTGCTGTTTTTTTAAGTGTTTCATTATAATAGCTGGAAACATCCTTCTCATTTCTCTTCATAAATAATCGGTGCCTTGTTGCCTTTATTTTTCTTCGTATACGTCGTCTTGTGTCTCTTCTTCAAGTAATGCAAGCGCCGCCAAAAGTATTGAATTTATATCCATTTTATGTACAAATATCACACACAACCACACGTGGACACTGTCAGCTACTTAACTGTTTGATCGAAAGTCTAGACGTCGTTTATTGCTAAGATATGTTTTGACCGCTGACGCTGTGCTTTGCGCGACTGAATCGACATACTACAAAAAGGAATAATAGTTCGGGTTTTTGTTATATATGCAAAAAGAGATTATTCACGTCAAATTTATTAAACGATGGCGTCGCCTTTCATATATAACAATTTTAAAAACATTATTGCTAAGTATTTACTTCCTTTTAAAATAAAAATTACAATAACAACGATCGTGTTGTTTCGCATTTCTTTACCAACATATAGAGTGGGTCCCACATATATGCAATAAATGAAACCATATACTTGTTATCGCCTTTGCTGACGATATACAAAAAATGAACGTAATCGGTCCAGTAATTAGGTCAAAAAGTAGAGTTTTAATTTTAAGCAAATTTGAACACTCTATAGAATTGGGTCACTAAGTCAATGATTCAATGAACTTGAATCCTTGAACATTAAAAAGCGACGTTGCCACGCAGTGCAAACTATTGGTAATGCGACATATCGACAGCGGCGTCTTTTGTCGGCGTGCCACCCGCGTGCAACGTTGTCACTCTTCCAAGGGGTCAAGGTACGTTGTCTAAACAGAGTGTTCACTTTTACTGAATTTATTTTAATATTTATTTTGTTTGAAAATTTCACTTTTTTTATTTTACGGGTTTTAATTTAATATTTAATTTTTCTACACTTCTACGGACTAGTATTACTTGTGGTTTCATTTATTGCATATTTGTGGGACCCATTCTGTATAATATGCGGATCGGTCGAGTGACTGATCCGAGTTTGTATCAAAGTTGTCACTGTCACCGAACGATACTGTTATAAACTTATAATGTATCTATATTGTCGGTATATACTAAATTAATACTAATGTTTTTGTGTGTGGGGGAGTAATTGTTAGTTCATTGTTTTAATTGGTATGTGTGAGTTTCTTAAGGCGCAGGTTCAACCTCACATGGAATACTGTTCCCATACCCGGACGAATTGTAACCAATTGTAACCGACCTAAATATTTTTTCTCACTAAAGCAAAACATTCATAATCATTAAGAATGACACTGTTCTTTGAGTGCAAATTAATATCAATATTCTAAGTAAGTAACTAAGTTGAAAACATAAAAAACTCTGAGTAGTATATATATATATATATATATATATATATATATATATATATAATAAATAATATGTGTACCTACATTCAGTGTATCAAACTATACCGACAAAAGATCTGGAGCACGAAACGAGGAGATTTTATCGCCGGTACCATTCCGCGTTAAAATAAAATTCCAAAATTAACTCTCATTTAGCCTTAACCAAAACAATTCTGTCAAGTAGTTATTAAATTTTCGTTAAGAAAATGGCATATCTTGAAAAACACCACGTTGTCCGTGTTAATCGTAATTTTGTACTTACACATCCCTAATGGCATTGTTAAATTCCATTGGTAAAATCTGACAAGACTTGAATGTAATTCATTCTTTAAAATTCTTCTTCATTCGTAAAAATCCAACTCTATATTATTAATAGACTCGCTTCTCGGGCTTGCATCTTGCAACGCAGAGGATCGTCCCTTTTTCGTCGACGGTTTAATGTGTATTAATCGAAGATTAACTTCGGCTACCATTCAATCCTCGGACCCATGGTACATCAAATAAAATATTAATAAGTATGCTCCTACCTATCTGCTTAATTACTCAATTCCGTTTAATATCACCTTATCAAGGACATTCAATCTGTGAAAGGCAAGTAAAAGTGCAATTAATCAGTGTCAAGTGTGCGTTAGAGAGGGTCACGACTTTCAATAAACCCCTTATCTTCTTCGATAATAGCGCACTTGGAAACACGAATATCTAAGTGGAAATTTTTAATTAATGAATGGATTTCATGAACTTTGCGTGTGGTGACGATATAAGAAAATCTATTAGTAAAAGACTCACATTTCAATACGGGGTACATGATGGTATTATCGTCTCGTATTTATACCAACGACAAATACTCAACTGTGAACGATGATGAAGGTAACAAGCATGACAATTATGGTGAATCTTCCTTACAAAGGGACGAGGAATAAAATACAAAGAGTATTCATAAACTTAAATAGTGAAATTTGATTATGTCTATGCCAAACGGGGACAAACCAGCACAGAATCCACATGATGGTAAGTGAATGCTGTGGCCCATACACATCTCAAAATTCAGATTCGTTGTTACCCCTGAGAACTAGGATGGAATGCTTCGTGTCCAGTAAAAATGGTCTCTGGTTTTCTGCGCTGACCATAACACAGCAGCATTAAGCCATTTTGCGCTGATATTTAATGAGAGCGCGGTTCTTCCCCGGTCGAGAGGACGCATTCATGCTACCACCATAATAAAGCTGCAGCGCGGTTCTAACGCGTAAAAATTATAGCGAATGTCAAAAGCGATGTCAAAAGAAGTGATAATGGAAATTAATAGAACTGGCTTCCGAAAAATGGCGGTATTGCACTGACCTCTACGATACTACCATCTCGCTTACGTCAGGTGTTAATACTCAGATCGGCGACAGCTGGGTCAATAGGTGCGAGACGTTCAAAACTTCGATCGTCAGTCCGCATAACAAGCGTGGCGATTAACCGCCGTTTACCGATTAAATTAAATCACGCTTACATGGTACATCCACGCTGCAGCTACATTACGGTAGTAGCACGAATCGTTCAACTCGACTAAATGGTGCTGTGTTCCGTTTGGTGAGTGTAGTATAGAGAACCGGAGACCCTCTTTACTGGAAACATGGCAATCCTCAAGGGGTGACAACGCATCTGCTTATTGGTTTTTAATTGCTGGTAAATATAGATATCTACGGGCCACAGCATCCATTCCATAAAACAAACATTATCGATGATTAAAACCTTATATTATCTAATTAATTATCATCTAGAACAAAAACAACGCCTCTTTTAATTTTCCTGCTCGCTGACTTTTATCCAAGGAACATAACTTGATTTATTTTACTGCCTTATTCTTGCCTGTGATCTCATCGATATTAAATTATAATTTATACAAATAATTGAATCGTAAACAGGGTTTACTTCTTTGTCTGTGCGTTTTTACATGCCACAAATGTTGATCCAAGTTGGACGTAGTCTAAAGATATATTGAGATAAACTTGGGTTAATGTTGAGTTTTTGTTTCATATAGGTCAGTACTGACAAATAAAAACGATCTTACGTCAAATAAAACAAATAAAAACGTCTTTATAGAGCGTCTCGTGTAAGCGTGACGCGTACACAAATCAGGAAGAAAATGGGCTGCTCGGCTGTTTTTCAACTTACGCTGACCTAACGGCCATATACGTGAGTATAAATATTGTAAATATTTGAGTATTACACTATACACATATGTATTTATCCTTATTGAATCCTTATTAAAAATAATTAAAGAAAAATAAGTAATCGTTACGGTCTGCCGATCAGTTTTTCAAGTGATATTAATTTATATTGATTTCTTGGTTGGAGTTGTTAAAGTCCGATAGCCGATTTTTAAATAGTACATTTTTAAATAAGGTAATATTATAATATGACCATCAAGAAAGCGCTGGTTCTGATGGCAGAGTGACAGGTGTGGATCTTAGTCTCAGCTGTTTTTCACACGGTCTTCTCTATGTGGTTCTGTCCTTTTTTTTTTTTTTTTGCGGATGGAAAATCATCTAATGACCCCTTTCGCTCTGGGTGGAGCGTAAGGGAGTGTCAGACTTTTACTGACTAAAAATCATCCGTGTTCCTTCAGTGCCCTTACGTTCCGGAGCCGCGGTATCTCTTTCGAATAGCCCGCAGCCCCGGCAGGCGTCGGCCCTTGCGGGTCCCATCACGCTGCTGACAGCTCTTTGAGGCGCGCGTGGATAAGGGTTCTGTCCTGAGTAATCAATTCAAGAAATCTCTACGAACTTAAGGCTATACATATTGTATAATTAACTGTTCCCTACGAATTCGTCCACGTGGAATTTAAGACGATTTAATTTCATGGGTTTTAGTAATTT